TCCCCGTACCCCGAACGTGTTCGGCTCATGAGGCAATGCGATGGTGAACATGGGGCGTTCGTGCGAAATGCTTTGACTCACGAGGGTATTTTTGTAAAGTCCTCTTCCACGCTCCCCTTTCCCGGATACATATCTATATATACGAACACCCGTGTGGCCGGTTTGGGTACGGACACGGACATATAAGAGGAGGGAGAAGGGAAACACGCACACTCTCTTTACGACTTAATAATTTTCTTGTAACGGCCCTTTTCAGTGAACGAGTCACTAGAACCGCAGTAGCGAGGGCGGTGCAGCCTTACGACGTATGCGTTCCAGGAAGCGACGGCGAACCGCTGAACCTTTACTCTGGAGGAAATGCTGCAGGGCAGAGCCTTACTACCGTACACTGGACACGTGCGCGAGACGTTACTCGTGCCTTGCCCGTCCCTCCGTGGTGGGGCGTGGCGCTCCTGGAGATAGTTGTGCAGCGCGAGTGTCGATGTCAGGGGGACTTGGTGGTCGCTCCGGTGTCTCGCGTGTAGACTGTCGTGTCTGCCATTCCATTTCAGTTGCCCCCAAAGACCCTCTCCATCTCGACGCACACGCCACTCCCCGCTGCTGCGGCCCTCGCGCGCCCAGTCTCCACTCTACCGCCATGGCAGGTGAATTAATGTCTCGTTAATATGTAGCATTAATTTCCTCGCAGATTGTTTGACTTTTGGCGCGGCGGCGCGGCGGCAAACAAAGCGCCGCCTGACAGGTAGGCAGCCCACTTGACGTGCCTGTGCTCCCCGCCGCCGCTGCCCCACGCCGCAGACAGGCGGCAGAGGGCTGCTGCCGGGGAGTTTAGTTTGGGGGAGTTTATACTTACACCGTGGGTCGCTAGAGGTTGTACCAACGGTCTAGGAACACATTGTGAACAACGCATATTGCAGATCGGACTTGACGAGATTGCCGCCGTTCTTCAAGTAAGGGGGGGGGAGAGCGAGAGAGACAGGGAGAGAGAGTTAGAGAGAGAGCGGGGGGAGAGAAGACGGGGACGAAAAGTGTGTACACATCGTATATACAAATGAAAAGAATCTTAGTCGGAAAAAAACTTCTACGACATTTCGGTAGAAAATTCGAGACACATCGACGTTTGTCGGCCAAGGTCGGGGAAGGCCTGCTAAGGGCTGCTCTCCCGCCCGCCCTAGATGCAGTTCCTGCGCCATCACAAGACGTGGAGTTCAAACTGAAATTGAATTGGTTGCATAATCACAAAACACATCTCAGACCGAAAGCTCTTTGGCGTGTACCGTTGCGCTCGGTCAGGCATCGCGTCGTGGTCGCCGCCTGCCCGTGGGCAGCAGGACCCAACGGACCCCAGGCCCAGGGGTGGGGGCGAGGGGGAGAAGGGGCGGGGGCGACCGCTCCTGCAGTTGGAGGCGTCGAGAGCCGAAGTCAGGATGTCACCCCTCTCCGCTTGCGTGTCCGGCGGCGCGCTGGTCTTGTGCCTCTTCGGCCTCTCCAGCCTCGCGGCCGCCGCCGGGCATGTGAGTACTCCGGACAAGCATGTCGTGAACGTAGCATCA